TTATATTTTGGAGACTTTCCCCAAATTTCCTTATGATTTGGTTTAAGGTTAAATAGATTTGTCAGGAATATACAGTAAGTATCATGTCCTCAGTGCATCACATCAGGGAGCATATGTCAGCTTGCCGTTTTGTTGGTTTTGTAAGTTTGAACATTTGTTTAAGGTGATGTCAGCCAGATTCTCCATTATACATTTTCATCTTTGTTAATTAAGTGATCTTGGGTTGGTACTTACAGAATGTATAAGTTTTCATATGGATTTATGAATTCTTTTTTGAAATAATATGATACCGTTATTCATTTTGATGCTCAGATTGTCCAGATTTGGCCAGGAGGAGGCCTTCCAAGCTGGCTTCTGTATGTTTTCTTTTTTTGTTGTTGTTGTTTTGTTTTAGCATCATGGTTTTCTTTCCTTCTTTTCTTTTTTTTTCTTTTTTTTGCTTCTGTGTCCACATCAGTTTTGAGCACTTCCTTAGTCTGGCACAACAAGATGCTCCAGGCTCACTTTGTACTTTTCTTTCCCTGCCTCAGGTTTGGAATCAGCCATTTCTCCAAGGAGCCCTGATTCCTTTTCGTGGGAAGTGATGTTTAGAAACCGAAGATCCGGGGGCTGAGTCTGCTTATTGCTACTAGAGTGTCATTGCTTCTAGACTATTTCTGTGGACAGAGAGAAGAAATGTCTATGAGTGTGTGTATGTGTGTGTGTGCACGCATGCAGTTTTTGTTTGTAGTTATTTATTTGACATACAAACCCAAAAACCCCATTGCTGTCGAGTTGATTCCGACTCATAGTGACCCTACAGGACAAAGTAGAACTGCCCCAAAGGGTTTCCAAAGCTGTAAACCTTTATGGAAGCAGTCTGCTACATCATTCTCTCATGGAGCTGCTGGTGGGTTTGAACCACCAACCTTTCAGTTAGCACCCTAGTGCTTAACCACTTCACCACCAGGACTTCTATTTGACATATTTAAAAAACAAAAACAAAAACCATTGCTGTTGAGTCACGATTTGTTTCTATTTATACTTAATTGTAGCTAGGGATTTTCCACTAATCCATGTTGATTTATTTTAATTTTGAATATATAAATCATTAACATGCTTCAAAAGAAACTTCATTAAAAGGTCTGCATAGGAGTACATTCTTTCCTGTTCTTCCATCGCATTCTCAATTACTGTATGTGGGTAGTGTGTACGTAAACCTTAGTTTGAGGTTTAACCTTCCTGTTTTTTCTTTTTGCAGACACACCCATACGTTCTCATTTACCCTTCTTTCTTGCACGTTAGCTAGCTTTTGCACATTTCTTTTTTACTGTTGCTGTTTTGCCGAACTTCCTGTGTGGTCGGTTAAGTTGTTTCCAGTATTGTGCTATTTCAGATAATGCCACAGTAAGTTACTTGTGCGTGTGTTTTTTTGTATTGTTGGAGTCATACCTTCAGGGTGAGTTCCTAGAAGAGAGATTTCAGAATCAGAAGATACGTATATATGTTGTTTGATACGTATATATGTTGTTTGGGTAGATACTGCCAAACTACCCTTCCGTAGAGGTTGTACAGTTTTGCACTCCTACCAGCAATGTATGGAAGTGCCCATTTTCCCACAGTCTCACCAGCAGAGAAATTATATTTCAGTGTAGCTTTAATTTGTGCTTTTTTATTCTGACATTGAGCATTTTTTATTTGTTTAAGGGTAATTTGCATATATACGTAGGTTTTTTTTTGGTAGAATGCTTATTTAAAACTTTTGCCCATTTTTCTAACAGGTATTTGGCCTTAGTTTCCTCAGTTCTTTATACATTAAGGATTTTATCATTTTATTTATGATATATGTTACAAATATTTTTCATTTTTTATCATTTGAATTTGCTTCTGGTGTGTTTTACTGTGGAAATTTTTTTCTTTTACTGAAACTGAGTTTTCCATTATGTTTATGAAAAACCAGTTGCCATCGAGTTGATTCCGACTTATGGTGACCCCATCTGTCCAGAGTAGAACTGCATTCCATAGGGTTTTCAAGGCCAAACCTTTTGGAAGCAGATCACCAGGACTTTCTTTGAGGTACTTCTGGTTGGGTTTGAACCACCAACCTTTCGGTTAGTAGTCAGATGCTTAGCTGTTTGCACCACTCAGTGGCTCCTTTATGTTTATGAGAGAGGCTTTATGTGCAAGGTTAGGGCTTATCAATAAGCAAGGATTTTGATGTTTAATTCCGTAGGGCCTTTTGGTTTGAGAGAAGAATCTACCAATTTCTTAGCACTGGGTAGAGATGGAGAAAAGGAGGCTGGGGTTGGAGGGAGTCACTTTTCTGTATGTAGATCTTTATCCCCCCATTTTCTTTTCTGCCCGTTTCTGTACCTGGTGTCCTCAGAGTCTGAGTCTTCTTTGGTTCTTTTCTTCCCCACAGTAAACCTCCATTCTCTTGCTCTAGTCAGGGTAGGGTAGTTGCATGGCTGTATGTCATGGGGTGTGATCTGGAGATCTGTTTATTATTCATTCTTTTCAGTCAATCTAGATTTTAGCCTCATGCTTCACCCATGTCTTGGGAAATGAATGGAGCTGTAGATTCCTGAATCATTTGAGAATTATATTGGCTTACTTCTGCAGGCACTTAAGGATGTCCGTGTTCTCAGTTCTGTTAATTCCTTCATCTCCTTTCTTGTTTCTCATCTGCCACTGACTCCTCTTAAGTCCTTCTTTATCTTTATTCTCATTTTAGTGAGTTTTAGGAGCAAGGAGAAACACGTATGTTTAATTCATTGTATTTAACTAGAAATCCAGGTAGTTCTTTATACATACTGTTTTTTCCCCTTAGCCTTTACTCTGTGGGAGGTTGGATGGCTCCCAGTGAAGCTTTTTAAGTTCACAGTACTGCACTTTGGTTTGATGATTTAGGGTTTATATGCCAGTATTCAGCCGATTCTAATCAGTAGCTGCAAAATCATTTGCCTCTTGCCTTCTTTTATGCCTTGCTTGGCAACTTCAAGGATGCTTATTAAGTGTAGAAGTCCAGGGACAGGGAGAATAAAGATGGTACATCTTCCCAAGTCCCTCTTTCAGCACTTCTCTCTCACTGTCAATTTGTGTGGAAACGAACCCCCAAGAAGTTTTTAAAATTCCAGGCAAAGGATTGTTAGTTGGTCCCTGTTAGTTGGATGTGCATGAGAGAGTCTTTGTCTACTCCCCGTTTGGGTCCATATTTCACTGTTTGCTGTAATCTGTTTGGGGACTCTAGCTACCTTGTTGTTTCATTTTAGATGAGTCACCCCACCCCCACCCACCCCCGCCACTTCTTTTTCTTTTTCATTTTAGTGGATTTCAAGAAAGAGAAGTAAACATTTTTGTTACTTTTTTTAAAGAGACATTTAATATAGATTGAGAAACAGTGTTAAAATCACATATTTCGTTTAGGAGATTCAGTACTTGAATGTAGCCCATGCCAAAAACTTAACTCCCAATTCATGTAAAGTTCTGCAGTAGTCTGACTCACTTGGGTCCAGCAAGTTTCACATCACAAGAAAGGGAGGAGAGTCTCTGAAAGGACACAGAGTTGCTGGAACCAGAGAGCTGCCAGAATCTGAGGCAGGTTGTAGGGACTGATTTCTTCCACTACCCTTCTTATTAGCCATTGTCTCACAGCAATTCCGCTTTTCTCCGCACATTTGCTCCAAGAGCTCCACGTGGTCCACTTTCCTCTGCTTGCCTGTAGTTTCTCTTCCCTCACAAGTTCAGCTTACACATGACCCATCATGGATGCTGTAGTTTCTCTTACTTACATGTGACCTTTCTGCTTCAGTTCTTTACTGCCGACCGATATAGTCTCTTGCTGTTTCTAGTCATATTTTCCAAGAAAAACTGACCGGCCCAGCCCATCTTTTAGTGCCACTTCTGATTTGTCCCTAGTCAAGCTATAAATTGGCTGCCTTTGGATCAGATGTCTAGCACTGCTCAGGCAGCTTAGGGGTGTCAGAAAATGGGCAGTGGGGCAGCAGGGAAACATAGTTTACTTCATGGGTGCCTAAGCATCAAAGAACCTTGCATGAGTAGGACGGTTCCCCTTGGCAAATGAGAGGGCAGGACAGAGCTGAATACATACTTTCTCCTTTAATATGCTGCTTTATTTTTTTGTGCGTGTGTTGAAATAATGTATATAACAAAATATATGCCGTTTCGACCATTTTTGTGGATGTAATTCACTGACACTGGTTATGTTTTTCTAGTTGTCTAGCCATCACCACTACCCATTTCTAAATTTTCTCATCATCCTTATCAGAACCAGTTTGTTTTTAATGGAGAACTTTAAGTAAATACTAAATAGTGCAGATGGAAAATTGTAGGAAACTAGCTAATAGCTGAGTTTCAGAATTGACTACAAAAATTCACCCTGGTTTGATGCTTTTTCATATTTGCATTGTGACTTTAGTAGCATGGTGTGGCAGAAAGACCACTGAACTAGAAATCAGGAGTCTTAAATTCTAGACCTGTGTTTGTTGTTCTGAAAGCCTTCACTTTCCTAATCAGATAAACTTTTAAAAGGTTGGTAAGGTGGAATAGTTTCTAAGGTTCCATCTAGCTATAAAATCTTGTGATTCAAAATGTACTGTATTAAGCTAGGAAAGGTAATTTAGCAACAAACTGGTCAGAATCCAAAGTTATCATAACATGAAATCATAAGTGTAGGTTAATGCAAAATATCGGAAACAAGAGAATGATTGTTTGGACCAATACGTACTTTAGAAAAAGATACAGGAGTTTTATAGTGGACCACACCCTCCTTATTTGAACTTATTTTATTTAAGGATGGGATGATGGATGGTCTTCATAACCTGATATAAGTCAGATATTATAGTTACAAGCTCTTTGCCCAACTTAAGTTGTATATAAGTAGTGTACTTTATTACTGTAAGTGTATTTTGGAATTGAAATGCTTTTGGTCTTCCGTGCCTTTTAAAAAATCATAGATATTCAGTATAGTTAAGTAACTTGCGTTCTTTTTGCTTTTTTAGGATTTAAGTGCCCTGTATGCTCAAAATTTGTACCTTCAGATGAAATGGATTTACATCTTGTGATGTGTTTAACAAAGCCAAGAATAACCTATAATGGTAAGTGCCTTGTTTTAAAATAATATTTTTAATTAGAATTACCTTAAGTTTTATGGATTTCATATTTCACGTAAAATTTAAAAGCACTGAAGGACCTTGTTTTTCTCCGTCTTTACTAGTCCATTAAAGCAGTGGTTCTCAAAGTTTTTGGTCTCCAGACCACTTTACACTCTTAAAAATTATTGAAGACTGCAAAGAGCTGTTGATATTTACCATGTTAGAAATTGAAAACTGAGAAAATTTTTTTAAATTTTGTTTATTAATTCAGTAAACTCTTTAATATCTGGCTTAATAGATGACAAAGAATTCTCATATCTGCTTCTGCACTCAGTATGTTCTGATATGACATGTTACGTATCCTCTGGAAAACTCTATTGTATACTTGAGAGAATGGGAATAAAAAAGACTGATATCTTAGTATTATTATGAAAATAGTTTTTACCTTGTAATACCAGAAAAATCTCAAAGACTCCCCCTTTTCCTTTACTCCACAAGATTCCTTGGACCACACTTTGAGAACTGCTGCATTGAAATAAAATCTCTTTTAGGTCAGGCCTAAGTAAAAAAGTAATATTAATAATGGCCATTTTTAAAAGTAAGCATGAATGGTAGAAATGCAACTTTTTTCTTTTTGCTTAAGAGTATGTAGTAAATGAAAGATACACATTTCAGAGTAGACAAAAACTTTATTTAATACATATAGTAAATAAAGGCATAAGAGAAAAGAAAGAAAGACATGAAGAGAGACCAAAACCTTTGCCAGCTATGCATATCTGTCTCTATCTCCTTTCCATAGACAATAAACAATTTTCAATCCATGAGCCCTGGAACTAACTGACCGTGCCATTCATTCCTGACCAAAATCTCTAGCTTTCAGATATTCGAGACCCTAGGAGAGATTTTCAAGTCTTGGCACACTTTGGAATAAAACCCCAAAAACCACACCTGTTGTGGTAGAGTTGATTCCAACTCACAGCGACTCTATATGACAGAATAGAACTGCCCCATAGGGTGTCCAAGGAGCGGCTGGGGGATTCAAACTACCGACCTTTTGGTTAGCAGCCGAGCTCTTAACCACTGTGCCACCAGGGCTCCCACTTTGGAATAGACTTGAAAAAAATACAGGTAGTTCTTTTCTGACTTTATTAACAGAATAAAGGAAAAAATGCAGGTTTTTTTTCAAAATTTCAAATTTTTCAGATGTAAAATTTGGTTTGAAATAGATTGAGTAGAAAAATTACCAGTAAACAGTGAAGCCAATTGAAAAATTCTCCTTCATTCATCAAGTGTCTTTTGAGCACCTAATACCAGGTATTGTGTTATGAACTAGGGATGTACAATGATAAAATAGAGATGGAGATTACAGCCTACTGATAGGCATTGATTTCTCTGATTTATTGATTAACTAAAGGCATTAAATGAAAAACGTAAATGTAGCACTTTAACTTAATCTGAGATTTCTCCTCAAGTAATAAAAAGTTTTGGGAGGGGTAGACTTTAACACTGAAATGAGCATGTTATTATTGGTAGCTTTTTCTGAGATTGGTTTAGGAGTTGCTGTCTCTGTTTCTCTCTTAAAAAAGAAATAGTGTTTCAGCCTCACAATCAAAGTGGTGGCTAGACAGCACTTTTCCCCATTTATTTGCCGATAAATATCTGAAAGTGGCTTTTAGTAATTACTTTGAATAATAAATGTACTTGTTGATTAGATCCAAACCTTTTGCATTTTAGAATTGAATTGGCTATTTTGTGTAATCTAGTTGAAATTTATTGACTCAAGAAATAAAAAGCTTTCCACATTCAGGTTCAGAATTTAAGGCTAAAAGTGTTTGAGTGTTTGAGCTTGTCTATCATACTTGTTCCATTATCTTATCATTACCCTCTATAATTATTTATATCTAATGTAAGTGTCCTTAAAATAAATATCCTTAAATCTTGAGCCTCTGGCTTTGAATTTAGAAAGCACAAATATATGTCTTTTTACCATTTGCTATGTTTGCACACAATCTTAGTATTCTGTACGTTTACTTTTTTTAATAATAATCTAGAGTATAGTCTCTCTATGTGCTGTGGGATTTGATGGTTTTTTATTTCCTGATTTAACTATGCTTAAGTCATTAAACTTTTCTACTAGATTACTTGTTTGGTGTCATAAAGAACCAAGATGTTACCTCCTGCTTGGGGATTCAGGTTTTAAATATGTGACAGTATTTCAATTTAGAAATTAGTAGAGTTTGTGCAAAAAGTAAAGAGCAAAAACAACTTCTTCCTAAAAATTGTATGTCGTTTTTGAAGTATTAAAACTTTTAGCCCTTGGACATTGGCCAGATATGTGTAACAGAAGACGAAGAAAAGAGCTTAGAGAGGTAGCAGATTGGTAGTGGACTTCTCTATCACAGGCTGGGGCATTCTAGCACCAACCACCCTGTTTTGAAGGCAAAACCCCCAAAATGTCATCTGTATGAAAATTGGCTTCTTTAATGCCTAAGCGAGGCAACTAGGATTATTATAGTTTTGAACAAAGCGAGCCAGAGTATCTGAAACCACGTTTTTAGTCACCTGGGTCGGTGGGGGATTAACCAGTAAGCACGATATGCACCAGTTTACAGTAAGCAAGGTACACATGGGCCTAATTGTGCTTACTTACTAATCTGTAGTGCACAATTTCACCCAGGTTTTACTACATCGGTGCCTCCCTTGCTTATTGGGTAATTTATACCTGCCTGGGCTCCTCCCAACATCCTATTTGAATTCTTTAAAGTTGATTTCAGGAGGAGCTATGTAGCAGAGAGATTGGGCCTTTACCTTGTGTTAATGCTCAAACGAGAATTTTTCAGCATATGGTTTATTATACCTTTTGCAGCCTTAAGGTAGGTAGATCTGTAATTTTTTAATTCGTTTGTTATGCATGTATTAATTTAACTGCCTATAAACATTTACAGTTAGCAAGGAGAACAGCTGGGTTTGTTTTTCAGGCTGGATATATTTACAGGCAAACTGCAGAATAGGATGAGTTACAGAAATTTGTATATAAGTTGATGATTTGGAGTTTCATATATATGCTCAAAGAGATCATACTGAAAATGCTGGTTTGGTTTCCAGACTAGCCCACAACTTTCTTGTTTTTTAAAAAAATTGTAATATATATGAACTAGTGTTAATAGTTTCCCTGAGCCCAAGTCCTGGTGCCTGAAGAAGAAAAGTGACTGGCTAGGTGGAAGCTCTAAGGATTAAGCAACTGGTCAAGCAGAAGTTCAGGTAGGAGGTCCAAGGCAATCATGGATTCTGAATGACTTGGGTGGTGGTGTCTATTGCAGGTGGTATTTTGGCAGGATGGAAAAAAAATCACAATGCCACACGAGCGTTCTCTTACATAGGTGGCTCTTAGATCCGGGACTACCCGTTTCATATACTTTTTCTCTCTTGCATGTGCCTCATTGTCTAGTTTATGGACCTGGTAATTCGTTTTGTAGCCCATGAACCTAATATAAGAGCATAGATCCTCTCTTCATTTCCTTGTTTCTCATCTCCTAAAATGTTTCAGAACAAACCAAAATAATAAATTAAACATTGTTAGCAAGTTTTTAGTCTTGATTGTATTGGCCTTTACACTACACTGGATCATAGGGTGTTTTGTATCATGTGAAGTTGTTCTTGTTTTAGACTTCTGTGATTGAGGGCAGTCACATTGATATTTAAGAAAGCTTTGTTTTACTTGTAGTTGGTACTGTGTATGCACATGGAGGAGGTACAGTTTGAACTAAGGTTGTCTTCTGGAAATGTAAACGATATTAACTCAGGTAGTGGATCAAAGCAGATCTATTCAAGGTAGGTCATAGAGTCAGAAGACTGGTGCTATGGCCAGAGCAAGATGTGACTATTAGTTAAAATAAACATGTTCGAAGAAAGATTGAGTCAATTGGAAGGCAATTTGTTCTACATTGAATGAGGAAAAAGGATCCCAACTTCTATGCTGTCCATGGTGGAATGAATCTTGTACTGTCACCCAAATGTTACACATATGATTACATCAGGCAATCAGAGTCTTGATTCTAGTGTGCACATGCAGCCTTCTAATGATCTGGTTTCCTATATAGTGTATTTGCAGGAAAGAACATACTTTCTCCCCTTGTAGATATTGTCTGGCCTGCTAGGTCGTTGTAGGTCTTAACATTTTAATTAAAAAACTTGCTTTCTACCTTATATACTACATTTTCTTGGTTTTAAGGTTTTTCTCTCCAAATTTTAATCTTTCTGAATTCTGGATGCTTTCTGAAATTGGCGTGCGTCTTATGATTGGAGTAATAAAAAAAAAAAAAAAATCACTCGTCAACCACCAAGCAGATAAATTAAAAAGGTGTCTGGGATTCCCTAGGTGGTGTAAATGGCTAACATGCTTAGCTGCTAACTGCAAGGTTAAGAGGTTAAAGTCCACCTAGAAACACCTTGGAAGAAAGGACTGGCAATCTACTTCTGAAAAATCAGCCATTGAAAACCCTGTGAAGTACAGTTCTACTGTGGCACACATGGGGTTGCCACGAGTTGGAATTGACTGGATGGCAACTGGTTATCATCGCCTGAGCATTTGTAAACTTTGCCTTCTGTGGAAGGTTTCTGTTATCTGGTTTGACATCTCTGTTCATTTATTTGCATTGGTGGTTTCTGTGGTTGAGTTTTAACTTAAATGTAGATCCCTAATTGTAGTTTTAAGTGACTTCATAAGATTATGTTATGGGTAGCATTGAAGAGAAAGTTACTTTTTATACTACAGATGAACTGTCTTGCCATGCAGTGAAGTTAAAGGCAGTAGAAACTGTTAAATCTCTTGTACTGTATTATAGAAATTTCAAAGCAAATGATATCCTTGGAGTGCTTGGCAGAAACAAAAGCAGAACTGTTTTAATAAAACCCACATGGTATAGAAAAATACAATCTCTATTAAAGGTGAACTCACGATCAAAAATTTAAAATACACAAGGAGTGAGAGTCAGTGGATATGA